CAGGGAGTCAAGGACTTGCACGCGCGCAGTATCGAATGATCGTACGCGTTGGAGGGAAGGCTGGAGAGATGTAAAATTGTGTGTGCATCATCGAAATGGTGGAGGATAAAAGTAGCGGCGAAGAGGAGGGAAGATCTCGTGTAAAACAGAATGTCTCAAGTAGCCAGTTCAGGTAGTCTTGTAAAGATATCAACGCAACCTGCTTGTGCGCACCACTCCATGCTCGCTCACAATCCGCTCAAACGACGTGCCGCCGAAGAGCTACTCCCCCTACATTCCCCTAAACGGAGCCGGACATCCCAGCACCCAATTACCTTCTCAGAGCTTTCCGCCCGTTGGACCAGTATTGGCGAAGAAGTCATGAAACTTTTACACGACACAGGCTTCTCCGCTTTCATGTCGTTTAAGGAGGCTCTCAGTGATTTCATTTTCGGTTCTAAGCGCAGGAAGCCAACATGGCCACGGGCGCAGTCGCAAGAACGTCTCAAGCTGCAGGCATCCGCAAGGAGGATTACTGCTTTAAAGAGTTCTTTGAAGCTCCCTGTTTCTGAACGCGCTACCCGAAAACGATACACTGTGAGATTCACGTCTTTGCCATCCGAGTCGCCGCTGGCCGCTCCTCACCTGCTGCCTGCTGCTTCCGCCTCATCGCCCAACCTCTCGCCTACCTGCGAAGATACTTCTGACTCGCCGCTACCTTCTTCACCTCCCAGAAACGCTTTCGCTCCGTCTTCTGACCCTTTAATCTCTTCGGTGTTATACCCAAAGATTTATAATCAGATCAAGGCCAAGATGCCGCGGAAAGTCAATCATCGGAAGCATATACTTCATATCCAGTTCAATGCCAGCGTCAAAGACTTGCTCAGGAAAACAAGAGAAGATATGGAACGAGAACTTTACCTGCTCAAGAAGCCGATAAGTGAGTGTAGTACGCGTTCATCTATCAGCCCGTCCGAGCTAATGTTGCGAAGCCGGCGTCCGATCATTGAAAGACTTTCGCGGATGGTTGGGCTACCAGGAACGTTCAGAGAGTCCTGCAGGTACTAAGTGTATGTATCTAAATGAGATTAGACGTACATTTGTGCTGAGTTGTTCGCACTCATATAGCCTCGCCGTTATTCGAAGACCTACGTGATGCAGACTTCGTGCCTCCATTATCGCGTGTCGCGTCGACGAACTTCATCCAGCGTGCCCTCCGAGATGCAAAAAAATCGCTACTTTCCCCCAAGCCTATCGTTTCTACTCCGTTTCCAGGCGCTTGGCCACAAGCCACACGGATAGTTTCCGAGAAAATCGATACTCGCATACGGCGGCTACAAGATACACAGGCACAAGTCTCCGAGAAAATCGCTGCTTGCGCCCAGCAGAAGCCCCTTTCCCTGCCCATTTCGCTTCCGCCAGAAGACGAAGTAAAGGTGGCTGAGATATTTCAGAGGCGCGGTATCATCAGTAAAGGTGTTCGCGAACAGGTTAGCGACAAAGACCTCAGGCGGCTACACCCAGGTCAATGGCTCAACGATGAGATCATCAACTTCTACGGGGAGATGATCATGTGCCGCGCGGAGGAGAGTAAAGAGAATCGGGGAGAGGGTCTGCTAAATGTGCATTACTTCAGCACGTTCTTCTGGACCAAGCTTAAGGAGGGATACGAGGAGAGCAGGCTGGCGAGATGGACAAAACAGGTGATTACTTCTGTTCTTCAAAAGAGATCCTCGATCACTTAAGTTGTAAAGCGCAGATCACTCTGTTTTCAAAGGATATTATCCTCATTCCCATCAACCACAATGGCTCACACTGGACGGCCGCGGCGATCAACTTCCGGAAGAAGCGGATTGAGAGCTACGACAGCTTGAATAGGGACCAAACGCAGGTATTCAAGCTCCTACGTGTGTATCTCAATGCCAAGCACCAGACCAAAAAACGAAAGCCGTTCAATTTCAATGGTTGGGTTAATTGGACGCCCGAAAACACGCCGCAGCAAGAGAATATCTCGGACTGCGGCATCTTCGCTTGTCAGTTCCTCGAGACTTTGTCGCGCGGCGAGGAAAGGTTTGCCTTCACTCAGGCGAACATGCACTACCTCCGGAGACGGATGGTCTGGGAGATTGCACATGCCAAGCTTTGGACAGACACATAGTCAACTCACATATGCAGCGCCTCGTCTCACGCTATTTCATTGCATCCACCATTGTCGTCGCACACGCGTCGGTCCCAGCATCGTACATCTGCATCGGATATAAATTTTATTTTCTGCGAACCTTATCGTACCGTACTTGTATTCTTAGTTTGTTCTTTAGTGTCTGTCCCTGTAGGAGCCTGGCATTATCCTGAGCGGACGCTGACAGCTGCCATCATCGCATAGCTATACAATTACGGGCACAGCCTCGCCTTCCATCCTTCAGATAGTCGAGTGATAATACTCGTGCGACCGTGATCGTCGTCGTGCTGCGACCCGAGATCGTTCTTCTACCTCTTCTTGCTCGATTCATGATTTGAGAAGGGCCCATCGCTCTGCCAGATGTAATGAGCTCAGCATTAAGACGCAGTCCAACGTTCCCGACATACTTTGAGAATTGGAGGCCTCGTTGATACCGGAGAGCGGTCGAGGACAGCATGTCCTGCTAGGCATTAACTAGCCGTTCGCCGGAGCGTGACGATGGGTGTGGGGAGGCAAAGAACACAGGACTCGCGGACCTCTTGAATGAATGCCCGTAGCCGAGAATGGCAGCTACAAGATAACGAGCGGCTTGCAGTATTTCTGCCCGTGCATCGTGCTCTGGATCATCTGCGCCCGCTTCTTGACGGGATCGGGCTTGGAGACGTAGTTACAATGAGCGTGCAGAGCCCGCTTGAGCGAGAGCCGCTTCCGGCCGGAGCTCGGCGGCACTTTCTGCGCGGACGGGCCGGCAGGGGGAGGGTACTCAGCGACGGTCGGAGAGCTATGTTTTGTTTTCTACCGCGCTGGCGGTTGCACATTCTCGTCATCGTCGCCCATAACGCAGAGCTGAGGGTAAGGTCAGTCCATCAGGACGCGACGTAAAGAAGGCCTTTGGCGCACCATGGCATTCCCACCCAACACTGTGCTTGACCCCACATAATCTGCTCTATTATCATGTGTACGAGAAAATAGGCCTCACCGGTGCCGTCACGGTGTACGACTAGGGAAAAGTATGGCGGGAAAGCAAAATACCGCGTGCTTAACCGGTTATGAATGTATTTCAGTCGTAGCTTGCAGGCGTCGACCGAGCTCAAACCGGCCGCTGTTCGTCGTCGGGCGTCTCCGTCTCATCAGGCCGCGCGGTGATACGCTTTTACAGAACACAACTCATCTGACGATCTGCACATGAACGACTGGCCGTCTGACTGTGCCGCTACTGGAGCTCCGTGGGTGCGGGTCTGAGTCTGAGGTCGAACAGGCTGCGCGCGCCGCACACCGGGAGTGCCGATGCCCAGTGTTCAAAGTGGGCGCAGGGCAGCGGCTTGGGTCGATAAAAAGGACGGTGTGAGGACGCGCGAAGATATGTGAGGTAAGGACACGCGAAGATGTGTGGGGACGCGCGAGGTGCGCCGCCGCTCGAGATGATCTCGGGTAAGTTTCTGAGCGGTACCTCGAAGATCAACGCGTTCGTCAGTGGAAGAGCTTGCACTGCGTGTGGGATGAGCGAACCGTCCTCGTCTGAACAGACAGTACTCGCGCACCTGAGCCTCCAGTGTGAGGTATCAAAGAGGTGGGTGGGCCGCGCGAGAGCATATTGGGAGTAGAAGTGCCGAGGCGCGGTGCCCAAAGTGGATGCCGGGCAGTGGCCTGGATCGATACAAAGGACGGAGTGAGGATGCACGAGGGTGTGCGAAGGTGTGCAAGAACGCGCGAGGGTGTGCGAAGGTGTGCGGGCCGCACGAGGCTGCGCGAGGGCGTGCGAGGGGGCGTGCGAGGGCGTGCGAGGAAGTGCGAAAATGTTTGGGGACGCTTGAGAACGCGCGCTGACTCGCGTTGGTCATCATCGGATGTGGAAATGTGGTAGTGAGGACAGAATGGAATTGGCACGTGAGGGTGCTTGAGGGTACTTTACGAGCTGTCGGAGAAGGACTAGCGGGGCCCCGAGCGCGAGTGCGAGGTGGTACTAATGGGCGCGAAGGTGCAGTTCGCAAACCTTCGCGTGCACGAGTAGACGAGTATCGATATTGGAGACGATGTGAAATGCAAGGGTCGGTCGACGAGCGGATGTGGTACGAGGCTGAGAGTGAGCCAGTAGAGCAGCCGGCGTGCGGTCAGCTATGCCTGCCGACCCGTTCCACAACACGATCAGTGTTTGCAACCAACTCAAGGAGCAGGAATACTCACGAGTATGGCATTGAAGCATCATGGCTTGATCCATCTTGGCTGTGCTCCCCATCTCTCTGCGCCTTGAGGTGATGCCAGCGACGGTTCATCCCTTCTCCCAGAGCAGCCGAGCATATGCACGAACTGCCGTCTTTAACATCGCCACCGAGCTGCTAGCAGCATGGGTGACAACGCTGTAGACAGGGAATAAGAGCGGGAGGTGAGAGCAGTATGAAGCGAGGGCATGGGTGCAGCACGGAGCGTGTTGCATCGGAGCGTCATATCGGAGCAGGTTGACGGCGAGCAGAGGACGAGGAGAGCGGACGGTTCGAAACACCGTCAGTACAACCGACGATGCTTAGTCGAAAATGCGCCGCATGAGAGGTGAGAGGGCAGGAGGCCAGGCCGGCGAGGGCGCGGGCGGGAGCAATGAGGATAAGCGCCCGAACACGGAGCCCGTCGGAGGGGCAAGCGGCATTCCTAATTAGGAAACAAACTGAGCAAGTCCTCCTGCGCCGCATCCTTTCGGGGCTGTTGGAGAATTGCTCTCACTAGCGTGAAGCTGGTTGTCTAGAGATGGCTTGTGAGTTTTGTATTTCCATTTATGTACATATTTGACAGGAAATATAGTGCAGAGCAAAGAGTGCTCCGCTAGAACAAGTCGCCAGTCACCTAATGTCCCGACACAGTGCTTTGTTTGTGCGATCGGGATCACGCAGGATGCGTGTCGGTTCAAAAGTGGGCACCCTTCCGGCCAATATCATCGTATTAATCGCTTAGTATTGGCTTCTGAAATAAGATTTCCGAATAATATCAGAAGACGGCGTGACTTTTTCTCCTGGGGCATCGCTACCAGCCGCGGCGATGCGAGACTGCTTTTCGCACCTCAGCCCCACCAATTTGCAGAGGACGGTGCATGAATTGAGGGTAAATTTCTATATTGTTCACTATTCTTATTGCTAAATCCACGCGAGCTAGGTAATAATTGCACCCCATCTCCTGCCTATCTTAGAACACGAGCTTTCGCACCGTACGAAATCTGGTTTGATAGAGCGAGAGCCTGAACAGACACACAGGATTACATGTGGTAAGTAAGATCATAAATGGTTAGTGAGCTGGCTGACGAGGGAAAAGACTGTTGCCAGACGGCTCTTTTCTCGTCATCGTATATGTGCATCGCATGTGGTTATGAGATATGTACAGAATGCCAGCTTGAATTGGTCACTGATGGAGGGCATCGTGACATGATCAGTGAGTTTATTTCTGTTTAAAACCCTCCTTTCTGATAATTCATTCAGCGTGTCCGGCCCATAGTTGCGGAAAGCACATGTATCGTCCGGTCAGTAGACTGTCTCGCTCGGCCTTGACCTCGGTCCGCGAGCAAGTCGATGAAATTATTGACCGCGGGGGCTTGCCTATTGAGCCTAAGACGACCGATACTCAGAAGAACCGTATTAGTCACCTGGAGCGCTGCGCTGCGAGTCCATTTCGCGTGGTACCCAGCATCAACAAAGCGGAGAAGAATATCTTTGAGGTGTTGTGGCGCACAGGGTTGCCTATCCGCGTTGTTGGTGTTGAAATGTCAGGGAAATGGACGCCATCCGACATAGCATCCAAGTACGGAAATTGTATTTTGAAGACTACCGAACAGAGGGAAAGTGGTGGCAAAATATTCTTGAAGAGGGATCTTCGTACGTTCTTGGGACTGCTCTTGTCGCCCGGATACAACGGCAAGGGAAGAGTGAGTACTTATTTGGTTTCACCGTGAGCTTCCACTTACTGCAGAGATTAGGACATTCCTGCTGATAAAGGATTCAAGGAAGTCTTTGGCGAACTGGCAGGACACTTCGAGCTTTCTTTGCCGTTCCCTGAGTACACCTCGGTGGACGCTATCCGAAATGGTGCATCACACTGGCTGAGACTGCGCAAAGGTGCCGACCCTCCTCCGGGGTTGAGAAGTCCAGATCTCGGTACGCTAATTTTGAACGTGCTGATTGCCTGGCTGATCTCGTATGCAGGACCGAAGTTTTACATTGCACCTGGAGATCGCACAGAAGAAGGTACGACAAGGCTGCACAAGGACATGTGCGCCGCTGTCAACATCATGGCATACTGTGCTCCCGATCCACTTTCAAAAAAGATGGGTGCAATCTGGCATATATTCATGGCATTGGATTCGGAGACTGTCTCCATGTTTCTTCGTGAGAAGCACGGCTTGACTGAAAGAGATCCAGATCCGCTCCTTGGGCAGAGATCTTACCTCAACGAACAGAGTCTCAACGACCTCTGGACCAGACACAAAGTCCGGCCATTCAGAATTGTTCAAAAGGAGGGTGAAGCCGTGTTCATCCCCCCCAGAGCTGCACATCAGGTGGGCACATTGTCAGGCTCAGATGATCCCGGAAAAGTGACTTCTTTCAGGTAGCGAACTGTGGACCCTGCGTGAAGATTGCGACAGATTTCTTCGGCGTGGAGGGGCTTGACGAGACATTCAAGTTTAATGCGGAATTGAGGCTAGAAGGTAGCTCAAGCACGCTTCCCCCGAAGACAATGCTTTGGCACATGTGGCGCTCCTGACAAGCC